AATGGGCTGATAAAAAGAAGGAAAAATTGCAGCAGAGACCTCAAACCTTTAAAACATTAGTAGACATTTTTCAAACCTTTAATTTGTTGCAACCATCACTCCAAACTTTTCAAAATGTTGCGGCGGAGGCCCTTTTTGACGGTTTTCATCCAAATGTCTGTTAGTTGACTAAGGAATTTGACTTTGATCATATTTTTAATATTTTTAAAAGGGTAAAATAGTAACTTTCCATTTATTATGTTAAAAATGTTGGAAATTAAATTTGAAAAAATAAGAAATTAGAAAAAAAAAAAAAAACTCAATCGTGTTCTTCCCCCCACCCCAACCGAAACCCATTATCTCTACCTTCCGACCACAGCCACCTCCACCTCAACCTCCATCCCCAACCATAAAAACCCAAATCATAGTATAACCCATAGAAATATGAAGACAAAGAATCAAAATGTAATACACATATCTATGGTTCGAATTGAAACAGGTAAGCTGTAATTCGATGATCCATACAGAAGATTATAATTCATTCTTTGACAGTTTTTGTCTCATGGACGACAAGAGAATTAAAACTTTTAATGTACAGAAATGAATCGCAGCTGTTGAACTTGAAAGCTTCTCTCCGACAAAGTCTTTACATTTTCATTTGTCTCTGCAAACTCTCATTGTCTCTTTTTCTCTCTGTATCTTTCATTCATCCATTTCAATCTTTTTATTTTAGAGATAGAAAACGTGATGATCAGACCGTGATAGAGAGAGAAAATGAATGCTGTTGGAAGGCAGAAATATTGGGGTGGGGGGAAGAAGACGATTGGGTATTTTTTTTTTCTAATTTCTTATTTTTTCAAATTTAATTTCTAACTTATTTTTAATGTAATAAATGAAAAGTTACTATTTTACCTTTTAAAAATATTAAAAATATGTTCAAAGTCAAATTTCTTAGTCAACTAACAGACATTTGGATGCAAACCGTCCAAAGGGCCTTTGTCGTAACGTTTCGAAAGGTTCGGGATGACGGTTGCAACAAATTAAAGATTTGGGAAAAGCCTGGTAATGTTTTTAAGATTTGGGGCCTCAGCTGCAATTTTTCCTAAAAAGAATGTTTGATCAGTCGCCCAAACAGGAAACTCGTGAGATGCCGGTGGTCCTATATTTATTATTGATGGAAATCAATTAATTAATATTATTATTAAGAAGAATTTACATCCATAAAGCTTTGACATGCAAACTTTTGATTATTTTGTCATATCCGTTAGTTTAACTAAAAGAAAAATGTGACATTGTAGTTTTGTTAAATGCGGCTTCTAACTGGATTGACATATCACAATTTTTGTCGATAAAACTAATAGACACGGATGGAATGATAAAAATTGTAAAATATATTTAAATTCAGTAACTCTATTGAAATAAAATATAAGTTTAGTAACCAAGTAAGAACAAAATAAAATTTAATGACCCAATAAACTCAATATTGAAGTCAATGTTCAAAGCTCTTGGTCTAGTTTATTCATGATTTATTAGGACATACCTTACAAGCAAAAATAATGTTCAAAAGAAGTATATTATATGAATAATGCTATTTGCAGTCGTTTACTGCGACAGTCGCCCTACGTAGTATACATATGGCAGGTAATTATTTGATGCATTAATGTGATAGTTTTTTTTATTCATTAATGTATCAAATAATCACCTGCAATATGTATGCCATATAGGGCGACTGTTGCTGTGAGCGACTGCAAATAGCATTATTCATATTATATAGATAATGCAACTAAGTTGATCGAAATAGTGATAACCTAGTACTCTTAGTAACGTTAAAGAACTATGAAAATTTAAATTAAACTTCCTTTCCTTAAAAAAAAAGTTATTTGCTCAAGAGAGTTGATTAAATTTTAAGATAAATTAAATTGTGCGTCTTCAACCCTTCCATTCAATTGAATTTTTATTCCTTTGCATTTCCCAACCTTTTCGTTTGCACAAATGTTCCCTCCTAACGATTTCCATCCAGTTTTTTGTTAATGTCGCAAAAAATGACAAAAATGACATCTCTACCATTTAACTTATGTAAACTGAAAAAGAAGAAAAATAAAATAAAATAGGAAAATTGCAGTAGGGGTTCCTAATATTTTCAAAAAGTGCAAATAGATCCTCACATCCGCTAAAACTGGCATGAAATTCTGTTTGTCTACTTCTATTCGTTAGGTGATCTTGCTTAACAAGGTGATGAATAAGATGTAGTAGATGTTGAACACGTTTGTCTAAATCTATATCAATTAATCTAAAGATCAAATAGTAACGTAATTGTAATGTCATGTAGAGACGTAAAAAAAACACATTTACCTAATAAAATTACGAAGAAATTTTTAGTCAAAATTATATTTTAGTTCCATATTAGTCACTATGTCATTAACTTCAAAATCGATACGGTCTAGTAGTAATTAAAACTTTACAAGCTCTAGATTCTTGAAAAAATTTCCGAAATTGAAAAACATAGATGGAGCAGGTTGAGTAAAAAATATTGACGGTCAAATGGTTGATGAATATAGTGACTAAATTGTGAAGTTAGTGTAGATATGGGAAAAATGTTAAAACTTCAATACCACATAAAATGGAAATGGGAAAATTGCGGTGAGGGTCGTTGACCTTTTCAAGAAGTATAAATGAGTCCTAGCCCATTCTCAAATCTTAAGAGCGCCATCTTCAATGTTCACAAGTGAAGCTGGTTGAATAGTTTTGATCTAAATTGTCATTAGGCAGAAGATTTAGCTTTCCATTTTTTTTTTTTTTTTTAATTAAAACTATCTTCACTTTTTAATTTACGTCACTATATTCTATTCAAAAGTGTTACCAAATTATCTCACTTCTTCTTTGAACGAATTTTGAACAATTCAAGTATTCTTGCCAAATTAGGAAAAGTTAAAGAGAATGTCCAGTCCATCTAGACACTATTTCTCTCCATTTTTTTATTTTTTATTTTTGCATAAATTTCGAGACATCTGGACATGCTTGTATAAATGACATTTTGATAAGGGCACTATTATTCTGCATGAATGAATAAAAAATATCTAATTTTTTTTTTTTTTTTTTTTTAACATTAGACATACACTAGTCCTAAAAGTTTCCATCAACACAAAACCTAAAGTTCCCAACTAATCAAGTGTTATCAACCAATAGTTGTCGCCGGCATGTCTCTCTCTATCACTTTTGAACAATAAGCACGTCTGATTTAGTTTAAAAAGTTGATAAAAATCAAAGTCAAAATCAAAATTAATTTTAATAGCACGTTTCTTTGGATTCACAACTTTTATCAATTTTTTAACCATATATTTCATCGAAATTTATGATCTTTAACGAAATCAAACATGGGCTAAGAGAGATTTCAGTAGGGATGGGGTCTTTACAAGTTACCTTTTGCATTGAAGTCTCTTTTATTCTTTTGCTTTCTTTGCCATGAAAAACTTTTGTGAATCTAGGCCACCAAACAAAATCCACATCTTCGTATTAGGTGAAAAGCCGGAGTTATCATAAAGTTTTCAAACAAGATTCTGTCAAAAGAAACAACTGAAAGAAATTACAAATTATTTTTCATCAAGTAATTTTCTTGGTGAAGGTGGATTTGGGCAAGACCACTTTTAAAGGATCCTAATAAATATTAATGGATCCGAGACTGGAAATTCAACACATTCCTTCACAATTCTCAATTTATTTATACGAGAAAAACGTAGAAAATTCCTCCAAATATACCCTAATCTTTATCTCATTCATATAAGTTACTTCAGTTAACAAATTTATGCAAGATCAGAGCTGAGGGTTGTCTGGTTACTTAATCCATGGACTGGAAAGCTAAAATTAAGCAAAACTATTATGCAGCAAATTTCTACGATTCTTTTCCAGTTCATTATGTTGTTTACATGCCAAGAAAGATATGAAATGTCGAAGAAAAATGTAAAACCTTAAGAGGATAGCAGATTGCTATTTTCTGGTCTGGTCTGAAGAATTAACGCAAAGCCATCGAGAGAGAGTCTTTCGCGGGTAGCAGTATCTCAACTACAACTGGAGAAGCGGGAGATTTTTTTTTATGTCTTCCTCTCTTACAGCATAATTATGATGACTTAAAGATGTAAAATTTGACTGACTAAAACCAAGAAAGACAAGACAAGAACATAAAGGAGAATAAAGAATTTAATACAATACTATCTTAGAACAAATCAAAAGTACAATTTGCACAAGAATGAGTTGTATACAATTGCATTAACAATGTGCAATAATAGATCGAATATCTCACATAATTCATTGACAGATAAATTTTTACGATCAACCCTTAGAATTTATTATTCTGACTCTTTTAACCCTCTGAACTTGCTCGGGATCAGATCTTGGATTCGCCTCATTCTCCGAGAAAGTATTCTCCTTGTTGTCTTCAGCCTTAAGTGTTGATTCTGTGCTCGACCTCTTTGCANACACATATATATATGGCGCTGGCTGAAACTTCTAGTATGGCGATGGACATGATTTGATCCAAGTTCTCTAGACTGATCCACGTTTGCTTCAAGAAATGGATAAACATGGAGTGTCTAGAATTTTCCAGCTTGAGCTGATGAATGAAGACCAGCACATTTTAGAAATGTCAGTGCTGCATCTTCAGTCATTGGTTCAATCCGTCATGGGAATATCATCATCTTCAGTCATTGGTTCAATCCGTCATGGGAATATCATCAGAAAACAAATTTACAAAGTTTACATCCAAAGTAACCTCCATCCGTACTTTTTACAAGAAAATCCGGATAATTGGATACACCCACATTAAATCTTGACATAAAGTATCATGGTTTTCTCTTTACCCATAGTAGAAAAATGAATCAAACGAAAGAGCAATCGATCATATATATGTGTGTGTGTGCGTGTGTGTGTCTTTTCCAGTAACAATATACACAACGCCATTGGAACAGACAATCTAGTAAAAGGGAAAATTAATATTTATTACATCATTCAAGAAATAATGAACAAACCTTGATTCTGAACTTGGTTTTGGGAACATCAGTGCATTCAGGCCGGACCTCATAATAAGAATCAACAGGAGCTCCCGGGTCCCTCCACATTTTCTCAATTTAGTATCTCAAAAAATAAAAATAACAACTTAAGAGAATCTCCCACAAGAAACTGAAGAACCAACAAAAATGAGCTGAAATTCCCAAAACCCAGATCACAACTTCAGAAGAAAAAACATTTCCAATGGCCCCAGATTAATTTCCTTTTGACAAAGATTCAAGGGATATATAAATACAAGGAAAACAAAACTTTTTTCGGCTCTAGATCTTGCCTTGTTTTTCTTCATTAATTTATTTAGCAGTTGGGGGTGGTTGGTGAATGAGGTGAATTTACAGATATTCGACCCGGCCCGAACACACATCCACGAACAATGCCCGTTTTATGCGTTAATCTCCCTCATAATATCCTCTCTCTCTCTCTCTNAATATCAGATTAAAAGGAGAAATCTCTGAAACAGTATTAATTTAAGATGGCTATATTGCGTCCATAATTATTATTTTTTTTTTCACCACACAATCACAACTCCTAAGATAAAGGATATTTTTTTGACAAAGCACCACAATAATTTAAATTAAACTTTTCTGTCTTCAAAATAAGGAAGGAAAATGTTTGGTAATTGAATATTAGTTGCGGTTTCTACGGATAAAATGTGTGGATAAGATATAACTTTAACCAAATGTGATTAAAAAATAATCGTTACCCAAAACGCGTCAACTTTATGGTAAATATTTGAACTCAAAGATTGGAAAAGAAACGCCCTTGCAAGCATTAGTCAAAGGAAGGTTGATGTAGTGGAAAACGTAAAATGCAAGAAAAGAGCCATAATAACATTGAACATCGAATATCAGATTAAAAGGAGAAATCTCTGAAATAGTATTCATTTAAGATGGCTATATTGCTTCCATAATTTTTTTTTTCACCACACAATCACAACTCCTAAGATAAAGGATATTTTTTTGACAAAACACCACAATAATTTAAATTAAACTATTTAAATGATGTAAGAAATCTAAACCAAACTATTTTAAGGGATTTGAGTTTTTTTTAAAATTTTTTTTAAAGCTTGATCAAATAGTATTTTGTCTTAAAATTTTGGATACAGATATTAAACATCGGAAATTTTCCGATTGATTTTTTTAGTCCTGTATTAAACCCTCAATTTAGTCGTACATTTTTTCTTCCTGTTCACTTTCACTAGCTCAATGATTACAAAACATTTTTTTATACTTTATTAATGACTAAAAAAATTGAAGAAAAGTCTCAACTATGAGATTATGAAACTAGGATGATTAACATATTGCTTGTATTTGGAAATTGACAATTGACCAAATTTCTCATTCTAAATTAATTCCATACTTCTATTTTATTTTAAACGTTAAGGTTGTAATTTATCAATCTAATTTCAAACAAAAATTATAATTTTAATATTTTGAAACTGTCTCATCGTTGAAATTTTGAAACTTAAATTAAATCGTCTTAGAATGGCTTGACTTATTTCAAAATCTTTTTACCGGTCAATTGGCTCGGTCCATATAAACATGACCTCAGCTCGGACCATCGTGGGCCAAAATTCACGAGTGGTTCGATCCACTTTCCATTCCTAATGAATCCGTGTGGACCAAATCAATGATTTTGAAAAAAAACAATTCCAATTTGGTTATATTGTCCAATAGTTTATAGCCCTATTTCTAATTCATCCTTGAAAAAATTTACCTAACGCACCCCCCCCCCCCCAAAAAACCACCCAATTAAAATTTTGGATACAGATATTAAACATCGGAAATTTTCCGATTGATTTTTTTAGTCCTGTATTAAACCCTCAATTTAGTCGTACATTTTTTCTTCCTGTTCACTTTCACTAGCTCAATGATTACAAAACATTTTTTTATACTTTATTAATGACTAAAAAAATTGAAGAAAAGTCTCAACTATGAGATTATGAAACTAGGATGATTAACATATTGCTTGTATTTGGAAATTGACAATTGACCAAATTTCTCATTCTAAATTAATTCCATACTTCTATTTTATTTTAAACGTTAAGGTTGTAATTTATCAATCTAATTTCAAACAAAAATTATAATTTTAATATTTTGAAACTGTCTCATCGTTGAAATTTTGAAACTTAAATTAAATCGTCTTAGAATGGCTTGACTTATTTCAAAATCTTTTTACCGGTCAATTGGCTCGGTCCATATAAACATGACCTCAGCTCGGACCATCGTGGGCCAAAATTCACGAGTGGTTCGATCCACTTTCCATTCCTAATGAATCCGTGTGGACCAAATCAATGATTTTGAAAAAAAACAATTCCAATTTGGTTATATTGTCCAATAGTTTATAGCCCTATTTCTAATTCATCCTTGAAAAAATTTACCTAACGCACCCCCCCCCCCCCCAAAAACACCACAAATC